CGGAGTAATTACTTTCGACGCGCAATCGCAATCGCAATTATCGCGTGGGGGCGGATTACAGTGGATTTATCGATCAATAATGTCGTTCACCCGCCGCTAATTCAACTGCTGATGTAGCGACCAGCTGAAGCGGGTAAGCAGTTCGGTAGCGCTCAAAAAATACGATCGTGTTACGCAATCTCGATGTAAACGCACTCGACGCAAACCATCGCAAGATAAATAACGGTCGATGGAAGTCTACTCTGGGTCTCTCCGGATGCTACTGTGACGCGCACATGTGAGGCTTATAAATACCAGTAAGAAAACGCGGGGAGAGCCAGCACGGGCGGGTTCGAACGTTTCTCAAGATGAACGAGTACGCCCTCGTTATATCCCACGAAGTTGCTCCCACTGCCCCCAGACTGGCGCGCAGGGACTCGGGAACCATGAGAGTAACACTTCCGTTGACCTCCTTCAGGAGGCACAGCGGGTGCGTTTCCACGCTCTCACGAGCGAAGCCGCACCCGAAATTGGTGTACGTCGCAGTCCCGTAAGTGCTCTACAATCTTCACAACAATCGCCGCACAAGAAACTACCGTGCCACATCATGAACAATTAGACGCGTTCCAACTATGTTGGCCGCAGTAACTCGATCGAACGCACACAGGAATTTATTGGTATTTTGTTGCTAATTAATTGCTAATTTTCTAATTCGTTGTTGATTCGTTTGTAATTCAGAAAATTAATTTCTCTCAATTATTTAATTCCCGTATAAAAACTTACGAATGTTTTTTTTTCCTTTTCAACGACAAAAATAATTTATTATTTATACGATACGAAGTACCGACTTTCGAAGAAAAATTCAGGAATGGACAGGCTAATTCCGGCGAATAAAGAATACGGAGACGGAGTGTAAATGAGACGTCATTCAAAATAATTGCCGTTCGAAACATTTATACACCGTGCGCTAATGCCGAAGGTACTGCGTCTTAAATCGTTTCACCCGGCACGGCCGAGAGAAGACGCATTAGGAAATGAGCGCGGAATAATCGACGGCGGCTGATAATCCAGCAATCACGGTTATACACGATCGTCGTAAAACAAGCATTACCTTAATGCAATTACCCTAATGCATGCACGCGATAGTGTATTTGCACGGCGCCGTGCTAAAACGAGCTTTCGATGTGCACACATTTATTATCAAGAACCGTACTCATATATCCACCAAGTGGCTAAACAATTCTAAGCCAGCTCAGCTCGTCTTCCCTCCGCCATGGAAGTTTCCTTCGACGTGTCCTTGTCGCATCCCTCCGCCGCGGGCGTAGTACCGTTCTTCGTGCTTTTAACGTAAACGCCCGCGCGCGAAAGAGAGAGTATTAATCTGTGTCCTGATATTATTTATCCGACCGAGGAATCCGCGATGGGAAAGTTCATCATTTATCGCCACTTTCCTACCGTGAAACGGAGCCAGGAAACAAACTCGCGACTACCCTTCCCTCAAAATCGATAACGAGACCGTCAGCAATCACGGGCAGTGCGGATGATCTGAAGATGATACGCATGTGTGTGTATGTGTGCGTGTGCGCGCGCTTATGTGTGTGTGTTAATTGCCCGTACACAGGAGAACGGTACGTTCGCGCGCGTGGCGCGCACTTCCGGCGGAATTTTGCACGCGAATGAAGCCGCGTGAATTAAACCGGCGTGCTGCGTCAATTAGGAGTTTCGGTAAACAATCGATAGTACTCCTGCGGCCGTTTAATTGCTCGCCGGGATGCGTAATTAATCATTGATAGGTACGCGGGATCAATTAACGCACGACGTTCGTCGAGATATAACGAGACAGGGAGAAGAGAAGGGGGATTGCCACAGATGCTGTAAACTAGTCACTCGATAGTCAATTGTTCGAGCAATTCGATTCAGCAATTCGGTCCGTTCCTTTGACGCCGTCTGTTAGCTTTCATCTCCGTGTGTTTGCGAATATTATACGCGATTTAATCAATTCTAATCGTATTGATTAGCAATTGACTACCAGTGGAATAAATACAGGAAATCCCGTTTATTCAGTTTATTGCCATACATTCTGTCTTTGATTCTCCGATCGTTGACTATCGCTGTTGCGTCATTAAATATTATCGTGCAACGTGTATGTACCGAGATTTACCAAATAGCGCTCGCCTTTATGCGTCCGGAGATTAATGATAGCCCGCATGAGCTAGCGATTCACGTATATGACATCTATCAAAGTTTCGCGCGCGGATTTACGGAATCGATATATAGACACACGGGCGCGCGCACGCAAACACTTGCTTCGCCGGGCTTTTCGCGTGCCGGAGTGTCGAATAAATAATTTTTTTTTTCCCAGCAGCACAGATTTTACGAGTTTCAAAGCGGCGGACATCAATTGTGCAGCACGATTGTCGGTACGATTGTCGCGCGAATTAAATGTGCACCAATAAATTGTCTGGGCGAAGAGCCCTTATCTCGTGTCGCATTGCGCGAAGCGTTCACGTTCGTTGAAATTCATCGAGAATTTGGCATTGCATATTTCGAATCTGCTATAACGACGTGTCGTATAACGTATAACGTAGCTCCTGACGATGAGAGTCTATAGTTTCGGAGAGTTGTGATTTTTTTATTTGTTTAATTCGAGTACATAGAAACGGCTTACGAATCGCGGAAGTGTCTGTTAATGACATTTATACTTCAGCTTGCAAACAAATATTGGCCGTCTTAGGCTTGGTACTGTGTCATACGTATACAAACAAACGCGCCTTGCCCGCCGCGCGTATCTCGAGGAATGTCTTGTCGTGCGCTCTACGCGAGTTATATAGTTGTCCTCACGTGATACGTTCCTTCATCAATTCACGATCAGATTGCGCGGAGCCGCGATTGCGGGCCCGCTATCATTGACAACGGCCGGACTATTAGTCATACTGAATGGCAAGGTTACGAGTTTAATCACAGTTTTACATAATACGACGTAATGATTGTTATCGTGCAACGGAAAAATGCAGCCGCGCAATATTTCCTCGATGTAAACAGAAAGGAAAAAAAAAATTTAATTAAGTGACGGACGCATTATTGCAAGCGAACTACCATGACCACGGTAACTGCTTGCTTCCGACTTTGCAGACACTCTTTTGAAAACATGCAATTTCATTGCTACAATGCGGCGCAGCCAAAGCAATAATAGTGTACGCGGAGTATCACAAAGCTATTGTATTACCGCTCAGCCGCGTTCGTTTTCACGATGAATTCATACTGCTCGACTTCTTCCTGATGAGAATTTAATTAACGTCTTCAACGGAGATACTACAATAGGTTGGATCTCATTTTTCTGTTTACGTCAAAACGCTGCTTGAAATTATCGAAAATTATTATACCGATTTGCGCGGGTGTTGTGTTTCTCAGAAATCCGCCAAGAAATTGCGGCGAATGTTAAGATCAGCACGTGCGTGTGAAACAGATAAAAGGTTCGCTGTAATGAGCACCCAGGTGACGAAATTTTCGCTCCAGTTATCTGCTAGAATTCCCGCCGCGGGTCTTAACTAGATATATTTATGACGCAACGTGAGCTAAAAAGGATACAACTCGACGTCTCTTGGCATCGTAAGAAGACGCTTGCACGTCGTTAGCGTAATGAGGAAGATTTTGTCGTCCATTTTACGCTTCATCTAATTAAGGTTGCCCGCGTCGACCAATTTTTCTTCCACCTGCAACGTGTTGATCGTATGTATACACGGCAGCTGTGAATATATGGAGCTTATGCTCCAAATTAAGTTCCTTCGATCAATCTAATCTTTTCTCTCCTGAACACACAATATATCACTAAAGAATTTCATCTCTGCTTTAATCAGTATAATTTAACAAATTACTAAAAATGATTATGTATTAAAAATGTAATTATCTGAAACTTGATATCAATCTGTTCGCGAGTCGGCTTACAAAATTCGCCAAAATACACCGAATGGTTCTGCGAAACAGCGATATTTGACGTACGCGAAATTGTTTTCAGAACGCCGAAAAACAGTTACGTATGTTTCACACTGCCTTATTGTGAAACGCACGGATCGCGTGCGTAGTTAAGATTTATTTATTTTTACAGAAACGTCATTCTACTTTAGGTTTCTCAACTTCCAGCGCGTCTATTTCGGTCCGTCCGATTCGCGGACTGGATGGTCGAAGACCTCGAACAGCTGTTTTCATTGAATCCCAAACCAAAGGTTAAACTCACCGAAGTTAATCACGATCGCGATTTTCACCTATTGCGAAAAAAAATGTACTTATACATTTAAAAAACAAATACAGAAAATTGGTACATAGAGCATCTGTATCTGAAAGGAAATTCAAAAACCTGACAGAAATGTGATAATACTTGATCAATAAAAAAAAAAGCACGAAAGATGGCACACGAATCCCTCCCTCCCCCCGCGAGTATGTACACCGAGTAAGATCAATCGAGGTAACTGAAGACGGCATCTGAGAAAGGAAAGCTAATCAATTTTGTTCATTGCTTCTTGCAGAACCAGGCGCGTTTATAGAGTACAGAAATTCATGAAAGTGTCCGGGCTCGCCATCAATATATTTTAATGCGCGTCTCATTCATCATGCTCAGGATACCGAGGCGGTATTCTATTATGTCGGTATTCTATATTCCGTTCTGCGAGATCATAAAGCACAGGCCATATTTTGTGTTTTCGCGCACGGCGCAATTCATAAACCAGTTTTATCGGACCGGGTGTAGTTTCGCGAGCGCGAAAAATTATTATTTACGCGGCATCACCGTGTGTGTACGTGTGTTGTGGAATTTATTGCGAAGTTACACCGCGGGAATCAGTCTCGCCTGACGTCGTAATCCAAGCTTACTGACCGAAGGTCGGGGCGAAGTTTATTCATCCCTCGTTGCGGATGCGCGTCAACAAGAACAAAGAGGCGCTCCGCGCGCCTCCCCGAGTCTCACCTCCGAAGTGAGAAAACTGTATAGCCCCGCTTCTAATGAGAGTTTACGTTTCTCATTACAGTTTCGACGTGGAAAATGGCGCCTCGACTTTGGACGGCGGCGCCGGCGGTGGCGGCGGCGCCTCGCCGAGCGCGGGGCTCGTTCTCCAGACGCTGCCCCAGAGGAGGGAGAGCTTCCTGTATCGGAGTGACAGCGACTTCGAGATGTCGCCGAAGTCGATGTCTCGAAACAGCTCCATCGCCAGCGAGAGGTGAGCATCCCCTGATTTTCTTTCTCTCTACGCTACAGCTCGGTTTTTCTCTTCTCACTCTCCCCCCCGCGACGACGTTATAAATCGATTATCAGTAAATCGGGGCTTACGTGAGTAACGCAGACAACGCGTATCGGCAAAGGTTGCTTCGACGCCGCTCGGGCGAAAAAGTCCATAATACCTCTTTTTAAATGCGCCCGTGAAGGAGGATTTATTAGCTTTACCGGGGATATCGAATCTGGAAAGAAAGTCACGCGATTTATAGCGCGCAACAGTTTATCTATTTATTATAAAACGTGTGAATTTAATGACTATTATCATATCATATCTCGTTGCGTAAAATGCATTAATCAAATAATTTTGTTATTTATTTCTTTTCCTACTTTTAGCTGAAAGTTTTTGTTAACGAGAAGTTTGACGATTAACTTACTCCGTTGTAAGTCGCGGAAAGCGAATATACGTTGAGCATTTACGTGAAGAATACTATACTACGAGAATATTATAAAATTATTTAATAATTCAATCTTTATTTGCGAATTGTGAGAAAAATCTAAATTTTAATATCTAACTTTAAACGTATCTTGTTGAAAATATAAAATTACGAGCGTCGAAGCAGCGTTTGTTGAAAATATTATGGAACACAAATTAACACAACTTTGTACAGGAAGTACCATTTGTTCGTTTAATGCGCAGTGCAAATTGTTGATTTACAATGACGCCAATTGTTCGCTTAAATTTCAAAATACTGTAATATACACATGTTTTTGCGAGATCTATATGCATGCGCGCACATTATGGCACTTTTCTGCAATTCGACGGATTTGCAGGCCTGGAAATTTCATCGCGCGTTCGTTCAGTCGTAAATTAATCGTAATATTCGTCGCTCCGCTATTCTACTCTTTGGTTTGGTATCAAGTCTGTAATATCATTGGAGGGTTGTGGGAACGTTTTTGTGCGGCAACGAAGAGAACGCGTACCGATAATGCAGATGCCTCCTTTGAAGCTTACGATATATAGCTTCGCGGGCGGATTGGCGAAGCCGATAAAACGGAGAACGGAAGAGGCCCTGTTGGTGGCGCCGCCGGCATGGTACCGCGGCAAGATACGTTATCTTCGAAATATATAGTTGGATGATAAAACGACTCGGATGATTAACACACGACTGTATCAATGTATGCAGCAAATTATTGCAAAACATTGCATGCCGTGTTTTACACTCGATTTTATCATTGACAACTGAAGAATGGCTCTTCGGTGTTACGCTTCACGAGCAGCGCGGTATCTTCGTTGCCTGCAATTGTAATTTATGCGTGTAACAAATCTTATCATTTGGTCCCACAACTGTACGTAAACAGTTTCGTGATTCGTCTTCGTGCTTTTGTGTATCTTGACAAAGTATCCGTAATCCTTTTATAGCGGTGATGCTTACTACTTCTGGTTCTTACTTTTTTTCTCACACAGATCTATACATCGTTATACTTGCATACGCATACATTTAATCGTCCACGGCGAGATGATGTTTCCTACTCTGCTACTATTGTAAGAATCATAACACAACGACGATTATTTATGGAAATAAGCTACGTCTAGTTGCTTTTCTAAATTTTCATTCGTCTTACGCAACTCTAATGTCCGATCTCTTGAGATGATACCGCGTGCTGACGCAAACTGCAGTTTGGAAGCATCATCTGTCCGCTGTCGTCTATTTAAGTGTTTTATCGTCGCTAGTGGGTGTTGGGGTTGTGACGATGATGTATGTGATCCTTGGGTTGCAGGTTCAAAGAGACAGAGCTTCCTGTCGAGCGAGCGTATGTACTCGATCCTATTATCTCTAACTCATTTTGTTTTATTTCACACTTGGACTCCACACTAACAAGTCATTCAACACCTCCCCGTATTTAATCACCGATGTAAAGCAACGTTCCGATATCTCATTAATATACGTTCCACGTGGGCGACCAGTCTGTTTCCCCGAATAATAATGAATAAATATGCATGTTACGTTTCCGTGTGAAAAATGTTATGTTTATCACTATTTTATGTTAATCAATATTGTAATTTTATGTTTTTAACATCACAAACATCGTCCATCTTTGTCGCTGTAGATTTAATTAACTTCCATTTCAATTAATCTCTCACCAATCGTGATTGCGTCATATTGCCATTAGGTGAGATTTGTATTTGAAATATGTCGCTGGGATGATGATATACAATTAAATAATTATTGTTCTTCCAATCCGAGACGTTAAAAAAAAAAAAAATGTTTCGAATGTATCGTTAAATGATTTTTAGACAGATTAAAAATAATGGAATTATGACAGTGCAATCCGTGCCTGTGAGCCTTGTAACACTTACCAGAACGAAGTCTTTTTATTGCTTTTCAATTATTTTATCCGTCTTCGTGTACTTTCCTGATAATTTCTCTCTGATGGTTCACGGAACCGAGCAAACTTGGACACAAGATCGCATCGACCTCACGTATACGCAACGAATACACACAGCTTTAGCATAAGATCATGCAAATTCCGCGCTTACGCAACAGCGACATTGCTTTACGATATACTACGTATAATATTGCTGATTTAGAGCGTAGATTTAGATGGCTAAAATGGGCAAAATTCATGTTGAGTCCCGTCTGTCGTTTTTTTCTACATCATAAAGAGTTGTCAGAGAAAAGATTATTCGCTGCATAATAACATTCACTTGCTGCTTTCCGCCGGTTCTTTCAGTTCAGAGTTGAAAGCGTCGGATACCATCGCGTTTACTATTTGGGCTTGCCTATAATCGTGCCTGGCGAATTTTGTTATTCTGTACGGTAAAATGCGCGCTGTATACGTGACGGCATATAGTAATGTTTGTTTGAGCGTCGGGTTACACCGTAATCTTTCACGTTTTGCGAGCTAAGCGTATAAGTATTACTAACCGCATGCTGAACATAGTTTTGAACGTTATCGAATAAATACGAATATTCTTATTTTCAGGATATTTACCGATCAGTACAGGTAAGTCGCATCATCACGTAATTTAAGTATCATAATTTTAAGTCGTTACATGCTGTATGTTTGAATGATTGGCCTCGATTGTCGATTAACGTTCCTATTTACCTTACCGGATAAAATTCATTACATTTTGCTCAAGAAAAGGCTGACGCGAAATTGTTTGCTCATCAGAGCGAAATGATACGATTTGAGAGAATAAAATTGCGGATGCTTCTCGCGCGTGCAATAATTCGCGAAGGTATCGCGAAAACGGGAGAAAGCATATTATTATTATTTTTTCGTTGTTTGTTAATGCTAGGGAATTATCTCTTGATGTAGTGTGTACGAGATGTAGCTGTACGAACCGGTTATAATTTGTTGCATTACGCTTCGTCGCGATTACCGCGCCGTGTACACGTCGCCTATTATCCCGTCGGACGTATTACGACGACCGGGATTTTGCATGCGGGTCTCATTTTACGATAGAACGAGTGCAACGTGAGTGCACATGAGTGGAACTGCAGACTATGCAAATATTTTTATCTAAAGTGGCATTAACGCACGGATTGATAGTGTAGGACGCTTTTCACTTGCATCTGCCGTGACGCATAAACGCCTACCGTCTTGCTCAAGAACTTGTATATAATTTATATTTTATACGAGGATTAAAAAAAAACGGAAAAGAAAGGACATATCCGCGCCTGTAAACAGGATACACGCTTAAGCACATTGCTAATTACATCTTAATGAACTTAAACGCAAGCAGGTTTTTACGATATTTTATTTTACACATTCGTGCAGGCCGATCGTTATTGTAAATAGCAGTTAATGCTCGCTGATAATTCCACATATTGATTGAAAATCCGAATAGACGGCGAATCGACGATTTAATTATTTAAGTTCTTCAATTGTTACGAGAGCGAAAAGGCGAAATCGGCCGTTCGCGCATATTGCATCTGACGGACCTGAAATTAGATTTTCCGATAAACGCAGCGATTATTTCCGGCGTCACGACTTAATCATTCTGTTAACGACACATGCCTGTGTGTGTGCGCGCACACGCGAGATCGTCTGTACCAACTTCAATTACCAAACTTCGTTTACAGTTCGTGCGGGGAAACGACCTTAAACGGCGTATACGCGAGAAACGTCGCGCGATCGACATCGCATTTACGAGGAGCCACGTATTTCACCCGTGCACATAGAGAACATTAAACTTTGTCACCTCTTCGCGCAACGATAGATATACGCGGAAATTCACGCCGCGCAAAATACTCACGCTCGGCGCGCAAAACCAGCGCGGAGCATCCGTTTAATTATATGTAAGACGCATATCATTCGGAAGATTGCCAGAGCGACGCGGGAGCGATCCATCAAAGTCACGTGTTTCAATTCTGTGTATCTGGAGGGCGTCCAATTCAAACTTCTCAGATTGAATGAAAATAGCTGAATGGCTCGTCTGAGCGATGGAATTAACTTTTGAGCGCTGTGCGAGCAATTTCCGTCCCGATAATCATTTGGGGAGGAAATCTGTTAAATCGCGTCGACCGAGTAAATTTTTCTTGATTGCATTTGAAAAACAGCAACCCGATCTGCCCGGCAACGAAATTCCCCTATTTGTAGAAAAATTGACTGTACAATTGGCTGTATTGTGTGTCGCGTGTGATTGCGCGCGTCTGTGTCTGTGTATGTGCGCGCGCGCTAGTGACCTAACTTGTGACCTAGCCGACGATATAAACTAGACGGACTGAATGCGCTTAATTATTGCGTTCGTTAGTCTTCTACGTTGTTTCACGCGACGCCGGGCGCCGTAACAGAATTGTTTACTCGCGCTACGAATAATTGTGTGCCCCGGTAATGCGGGACTTCATCGCTCCGATTCTCGCGCGGTATGTTTCCTTTAAAAATCCCGTATCCGCGACGGCGAATATATAACTTCTGAGATGAACGTCTGCGGAAATCCGGTAATATTACCTCGCCTCTCTCTCTCTCACGTTATATTCCATCGGGGCCATTTACGCATTTGCGGGCAATTACGGAATTGGAGATGATCGTTCTATATAATCAGACGGCTATTTCTCAAGGGTTTCTCATTACGTAATCTGATGTCTGGCAGTTTTACGCGAAAGAAACACACGCGCACGTATATATGCAAAAAAATGTATGTATGATACCTGCGAAACGCAAATTTCATGTAAAAGATTAATATTGACCGACGCATAATATCAAAAGCCTAGATGGTATAACCATCTTTTTTTTTTTGCCTAAACATAGATGAATCTATTCTCGCGTTTACAGGCCGTTTAGCGAAAAAAAGATAGAAAGAATACGTAATTTTTGAAAAATGCAAACAGTGCTTTAGCATATGTAAATTGTTTGCGCAATTCGTTTATACGTTTTGCCATAAGACATATTCACAGTATACAGAATGTAAAAACCTACTTCCAATATGCATACGTGGATGTATGCAAAATATTTATTCTTTGCAACTAAAAAGAAAGAAGGTAATTTGCAATTGTGAAAAATTCCGTTTGGATAGCCAGGAGCGTTGCCACGTTGTATCTCTAATGACAGCTTGTTGAGCTCTCCTCGTACCTACTTGTCGATAACACGAGAAATTATGTTTACACGATATTGCTCGTCTTTCCTCGCGCTGGGAAAGCCCAGGTATCCACTTAAGTGGATCTTGGCGAGATTTTGAGATCATTAATAACGGCGTGTGTGTAAACGACGGAGACGTTTGAACAACACGTCCGTAAACTTTTTTGCGCCGGGGAAAAAAAACACGCGCTCGCTTTGCGGTGACTTGCACGATGTGCTCGACATATATGTTGCACGCGTACCGCTTTACGATCTCTTGTAAGCAGCGGAGATTGCGTAAAACGACAAAAAAAAGTTATTTTTCTCCTAATGAAGAGAGCTTTTGTTATTCAAATTTCCGTCATTAATTTCGGAATTTTTAGCGCGATGAAACGACGTAGCGAGAGCAAATTGCGGAGCGGAATATTAGAAAGTGGTCGAAGAAATAGACTCTTGGAAACTGTTAGAAACGATCATTAGAAATGATAATTAGAAATTCGAATTGTTAAATTTGACGAGACTGTCACAAATGCTCGTCATGAGCTGCTTCGTATGTTTCTAATATAATTGATGCCCGCTCGTCGTGTTAAAATTCATTGAATGTCCGACGTCTCTCTCTGTATGCAGATTGAGCGACCACAATTAAAACGGTCTGTTGACTGCGCATTGCGGCATTGTGTAGTAATAATTACGTACTGCAAAATCCGTGGTAAAATGATGAAAATATGCGTTGAATTAATATAAGCATAAATTTAAAGATTGCCGTTAAAGAAACCGTAGTCTCGTTGTTGCGAAATATATTTTATACGTTTTACAATTTACGTGAAAACATTTTCTTTTATTCCAGGATTAAATATAATCATGTGTGTGGGATTTTTATTTCGAACAATATCTAAATGGTATTCAGAGAGAGCATATTTTCGATCGCACGAGTTGTCGTCACTCGGAACGGAATTCTACCGAAGCCGGAGATCAATTCCGGATTGATCGAGGTGTGTACCTGCGTGTCTATAGAATATCCCGCATAAAACATTTGTTACAATTTCTCGGAAGTAACTTTCCCTCTTCTCTACCTGAGCGAGCTTCCGCGCGGCCGCTTTCTGCAACTCTGTAACTCTATAGCTCCGTAACTCTGTAATCGCAGCCGTCACGGACGAGCGGTGCATACGTCAGCGGCGTCGCGGCGCGTAAGCATGCACGCATACACACATGCCAGGGGCCTCTATCTCTATTCATCCGTTCTACCACCTGAGAGAACGACGGTTCCATTCTCGCCGCCGCGCGCGCGACCGCGCGACGGAAGGAGCGTGCGGGACGACGGGGGTGCCCCAGGTTGCGCGATGCCGCGGCGCGCGCACGTTTCCCGCGCAAATCGTCGCCGTCGGGAAATCCCCCCCTACTTCATCCCATCCCCCGTATACGGTGTACAACGCGGGGGGAAATCTCTGCGAAACCAGAACACCCCGGCCAGTTCGACATCGCGGCAAACACGAGGTGATCGACGGCGACACAAGACCGGCTCTCTCGCACGCGCTGCTCTCGCTCGCCGCTTGCGCGAGAGCAATCGAATCTCGCGCCGAATTTGTGCGGACGAACGCGTGTAAGTCGCGCGTGTTTGTTATTCTTCATTTTCCCTTTTTTCGTTTTCTCTGCATTTTTTTCTTTATTTCTTTCTTTCTCGCACCGTCCCGAATTTCTCGGAAGCGTCCCGCGCGCGCGAAAATCGGTTCCGCGAAAAGCCACCGACCACCGACCGCGCGCAAGACGGTAAAGATCAAAACAGCTCTCGAATGAGACGGAGAAAGTTTTCTTGACGTGTTTTGTGCGAGACTCGAATGGCCGGCGAAGAGGGCTTCCCTGCCGGGGATGTGCCGGCGCGGCGGGAGATTCGGATATAATTTTAGAATTCTGCGAAACATCTCCTACCTGAAAACGTTGGCGGTCGAAATTCTCGCGTTTTCAGAGACGAACATAGAGATATGCAATTGCATTAAATTCAATAAAATGAAGGTGAAGTAGTTTTAACAAAGATTATACGGAGAGGAAAATTAATATGTTTCAAAACATGACGAAAAAAATATTAAATCTCATTTTGCCTTCAACGTAAACCGCTTCAGATTCATCTCTTGGAAAATGAAGAAATTAATTACGACGATTACATTGGACGGAGATATGTGAATATAATTTATATAAAATTTCAAAGGTTTAAATACAGCGAGAGTAAGTTGATTTTGTGTGAAGAAACGCTATCTCATTGCGTTTATCGCCTGCGTCTAACTAGTTGTTGCTGCGCGACATGACCGTGCGATATCGGCTTTTCATTATACGAATAATTGGGCATGCGACCAGTGAAAGAAAAAAAAAAGTGTTACGGACCTTCTCGGGAATCGGGAGAGAGATACGCGGCGAGCGCGACTCATCGCGATACCGAAAGTTCCAAATTA